CGTTATGATTGTCGGAAGAAGGTGCAAGACCCACCGTTTCGAAGATAAGAGATAGGTCTACAACAATGTAGAAGGCCACTCAGTCCAAATCCTAGCACAACTAGGTCAAATGTGCCAAATACTCAACCGGAAACACCAAAAACAGGTTTACAAATCACATAATGCTGTAATTACTATAACTCAGTCTATACAGGTCCAAATGCCGAAATTCCAAAGGCATATGGTAGCTAAGACATCCAGATACATTTCATCAGAAGACACCAACACCTAAATCCAAAGCAATTCCAGTCAAAATGGCCAATTACAAGTGCAGTTTTCGCATTCTGATCAACCCAGAACAGCAACAGTAAAATCGGCATATCTCACTCTACACTAATCCAAATGACCTGAAATTTTACAGGCACTTCAAACTCATCAATACCTACAACTTTCATGTTTTGAACAAAGTCCAATTCGGCCTCTAACATGGTGCAATAAATTCGGGCAGAATGAAGAACTACAAAACCTAATTTTCTGAAATTTCTTCCAAAACAGAAATTGATTGCACTTAATCACTTTTTCCACCTCCTAGAGTCATTAAACATCATTTCCAATCATCATACATGACCACCCAATCATATCCCTATGAAAACAGAAAAATCCCCAAAATAATAAAACTTCACCAATTCAACCAAACTCAAGAAATAATCCATGAAATTGCATCTTATAACACCACTAATCATGAATTGAACATCATTAGAGGAAGGAGAGGTGTTCATCCACCACTTACCTTAGCAAAACAAGAGGGAGAGCTACTTGTCACCTTAAGCTTCCAAACAACTTCACCAAACAACTCACTATCACTAAAAGAAGAGGTTTTATGGAGTAGAAACTAGATCAAGCAAGTGTTTTGGAGGATTTGAGCTAGATAATTGCCAAACTTTGAAGAGGTTTTTTTCTTCCTTCTTTGCTAGAGAGAGAATCAGCCAAGAGGTTGAAGACAAGAATGAATTTTGTGTGATTTTTAAGATATTTAAGCAATTGGTCAAAAAGTCAAGAAAATGAATAGTAAGTCATAAGCTATTTCCAATACAATGGTGACACTTGTCACCTCCATAAATGCAATCTTATCTTTTCTTTTTCCTCTCACATCAATCAATTCACATCCTCTACTTATCCCTTAACACCCGATAAATTTTACACAGTATCCGGAATTTAACCTAATTGGCCGAATTTTTCCGAACTTTTCGCACTTGTGGGTCCCACGTCCGTTATATATTCTTAATTTTCTAAAAACTCTCCAATACTAGGAAAATCATTTTAAAACTATTTTTGCTCATAAACTTTATCTGGGGAATTTTTCTAATCAAGAAAATGTAGAAAAACGGGCGATTAAAAAAATAAACCCTAGAAAATTACAAAATTTCCGGGTTCTCAAACTCATTTTTTTTGCGGGGCGTCACAACCAGGGTATGACAAACGGCGTAATAACTATTACCACATACACACTGTCCACAATTGCTCAGTGTTAATGACACAAGAACCATTAAGACAGGACCAGCAACCTTAATCTGATATGAACAAAATCACGAACAAACACACACTTCAACTGGATTTTGTGTGTATGCAAGTAAGGCATTTCAGCACTTTCGAAGCACAAATGAACAAATTTAAGTAGCAAATATAGTGGAATCCAGAGCTCGAACAACATACCTTGTGCAAATATGCCCATTGCTCTTTTTCGGCTAAAAAGCATCTGCGCTCCTCATCCCATCCTATCCCGGTCTCTGGCTTGGCAGAATCACCTCGTAGGTGTGTGAAAAGTCTCCACTTATCGACCACACGATAGAACTTGGATTGGGATTGAGCTCCAGTGCAAATAACCCCCACTTCTTGAGTCAAGTAGGCAGCCATTGCAGTGTGGTTTGCGAAAGTGGTTCGAGTTGCCTCCCACCTTCCATCCTTATGCCATTCAACATACGTTCGGATGTATAGCTCAGTTTCCCAGTCTTCCCAGTGCTTCTTTTCAGACATCTATGATTAAAAACAAGCAAAGGAAACTCAATAGCAGGTTTCGCTGCAAAATAAAGAGGAAACAGCAACGTAGCTGTTATTTATAGTATTCAGGTCAGGCAAGAATTTATGGGCATACCTGAAAATAGTTGGTTAGGCCTTCTTCAAAGTCGTTTGAGTCGCAACAAGACTGTGCACTGACCGAATTAGTCAAACTTGAGAGGGATTCTAGGGAAATAAGGAACGGAACAAGCATTTAAGAGGAGTTAACTACAGAGCTTCTAAACGGAAGATAAATATAGTTAAGGATGGTTAAGTCACAATGCATGGCTTACCTGGACTTGAACTTAATTTTATCCTTTTTGCAGTGGGCATTAACACGTCCGTTTGAGTTGAATTTCCACCACCTTTGTAGTTTCAGCTCTGAAAAAATTATTGTGACATAGATCATAATTTGAAGGAAAATTGATAAGCTGCCTGACAGAAACACGTGAAGATGGTCAAACAAGAACAGAACATGATCTCAAGGCAGAACAAACGTTACAGTAGATCAAACAATTTCCTGGGATTCAGTGCTGAACAAAGGTTTATAATTGAAAACATGAAGCAATTAATCAATTCTATACAGTAAGGTCTGTGTTATAGTTGTTCAAATTTCCTGGGAACCTGTTGTAGTTATATAAAGTTAAGACGCCCAACCCACTAATCCGGAACCTCATAACCAAAGGAGTGCAAAGTCATCCAGTTTTTTTCGTATACTTTTACACCTTATATATAAGTAATGAATGTTCATCGATACAACATATAGTTATGTATTGTGTTATTGAATCTGAATATGTTGAAAAAAAACCACTTGAACACCAAAGAATGCATGGCCTTCAGAATTGGCTTTTAAATCCTAAAGAATGGGCTGGATTTTATACCACTTTACTTTCAAGCTGAACATCTGATACAGCATGGATGTACATTTTGCTTCCTGGACATTGGATAGAAGACAACTCAACACCACTTGTTATGTATCTGGTAAAATTTCAATGCCATGAATCACTTGATAACTCTACCCTTTAGCTCTTACCCATATTGAATGGCCACAAAGTTTGGTTACCATACAAATCTGTAGGCCACACAGAGGATCCTTTTAAGTGAGAAGTGCTGACTTGTCCATTTCAATTCTAGGTTGAGTTTTTCCAACCATTTTCAGCTTTTTATTCAAAAGAATCACATGAATGGGGCATCTATGATAAAATCAAGAAAGAGTAAACGCAACTTTAGCAACCTCCAGGAAATCACCCATAAAACCACTTGAAGACAATACAGCTGACTGGTCTATATCTAGAGCACAATCAGGTGAGGAAAGACTTTAGAATGCAACATTCTTACAGATCAAACAAATCTGTATTGAACAAATGAAGAGGCAAAACAACAATTTATTGAACAGCATGCACATTATGTTTTTGAAAACGAGTACCAGGCCACGCAAGCCACCTCACAAAGCCTAACACCTTCAAGGCATTTGCAGGAATATTTGCTTAGGCCTTATACGGAGGACTAATTGCAAGAATATTGAACAAGGCTGACGAGTAGGGGTGCTTATAATCAGTCTCTTGGTTTGAAAAATATGCGACCCAGAAGTTAATTTGAAAGAAATGCACCAACGAACAAATCGACAAAACCCTAGAACAGTCCAATTAAAATTCATCAGAAACGAGCTCTATCAACAGAAAATTTTAATTACAACATGCAATAACCTGTCCAGACTTCCAAATAGAGAGACACCTCAAACAGAAATTGCACTCGGTAAGGAGGATGCGTTCTTACCGAATTCAATTTCTCACAGCTCCTTTCCAAACAGGACTTCATGCACACTATGTGCTCAGGCTCCAATGCCGCTGATGATCCGGAAAAAATAGCTGAAGATTGAGGTGATTTGCAAGCCGCAACCCGGCACCAGCTTTATTGCACCAACACGGTAGCTGCAGCTCGGTCTTCGTGAGAAAAGTGCGTTTACACAGAGGTACTGTATGGTGTTAGTGAGCTTTCAAACCCGTGATTCAGAAAGTTACTTGCCCACTTCCAGCTAGATTGTCAGCTTGCGAATCGAATCCAACTGATGAATTTGCGAGCTATCTGGCCGTGGGAGGAGATAAAGGCAGGCCTATCTGATAACTATTGGAAGGGAGAAGACAGTGAGCTATGAAATGGAGGAGCAAAGCTAAGAGAATAAATTCTGTGCAGGTTTGGAAGCTTTAATCGCAGCTTTACCTTTACTCTTCTCCTTCAATAGCACCAACGGTAAAAAATGCACAGTGTTCTCAGAATTCGTGTGTTTTGCATACTGAAGAGAACGTGCGTGGGCCAGCCAGGGGTCCCTTGGAATTTCCACGTGGATGCATGCTTCAGAATTTGCGTTGAAAAGAGGACTATTCCACGTGTGAGCAGAAGTCATGCTCCAGAACCTCAATTATTTGCATTATTTGAAGTGGTATCCAAACACTTTTATGTACCATTATTTGAAATAACCCAAATAATGGCCTATCCAAACACTTCCATTATTAACATATATAGTAAATGTGTGAATGCCAATCCCTCCAATTGAACCCAATTGCTGACGTGGCACGCTGTGATTGGCCGATTGATGGTAGTCCTCCGTTGATTGAGCTGAGGAATTGAATTGAGGACAAAATCGAGATTTCACCTAATCATTCAATAGATAGGGTTTCTGAAGCTGCTGCCGAGAGTCTCTTCTGCGCCTCCCTATCTAATCCTCCTCCTCCTCCTCGGTTTCTTTTTTCTTTCTTCTCTCATTTTCACTTCTTTTCTTTCCTTGATTCGCTGTTGTCCAGATCTTCCTCTTTGTGGCTCTCCAGCTCCATTACTCTCCATTGATCAAGGTGATAACAATGAATGGGCCTCCCTATCTAATCCTTCTTCTCGGTTTCTTTCTCCTTTTCTTCTCTCTCATTTTTACGTCTTTTCTTTCCTTGATTCGCTATTGTCCAGATCTGTCTCTCCGTGGCTCTCCAGCTCCATTACTCTCCGTTGATCAAGGTGTAACAATGAATGGGAGGTAAACATTTATTTTACTTTAGGCTACTTAGTCATAATTTTTTCTTCAGATTATTTAGCCATATTAAAAATCTTTTTTCCCCTTTTCATTTTTTCCGTGCATGATTCCTCGAACCCATCTGCTGTAATATTCGTCCCAAAGATATCTTCTTTACACCCCCAATTTTAATATGGATGGTCTGCATCAAAATTAGGGATGCCCAGATATTAGAAATTCGATAGATTTTGCTCCAGTTTTGGGATTCAAATCTTGCATTCTTTTTTTCACAACTTTCTACTGTTCGATGTTTCCTGCTTCGTTTCATGGAGTTATCTTTTTTAATACAAGAGAGAAAAAATTATGATTACTTTAGGCTACTCAATCATTTTTTTTCTTTCTTTTTTTTTGGGCAGATTGGAAGGCAACAGTTGTTCGTCTCATATTTTATGAGAAAAAGGTAGAGGCGAGCTTTTTTTCCTACAGATTAATTCGTGACCATTTGTTTCTATCTTGGAGAGTCGGCTATTTTCTCCTTCCATCTTTAAGATCTGACAAATACATTTTTTATTATTGATTTTTTTCCTATACACTATTATCTTTATTGTTGCGTGATTATTCTCTTCTTGTGCGAACATCTATATGGCTATTCTACTAGCTGTTTTTTTCTCACTTGTTATTGATATGTGCTTTTTTCTTTTTAGAAAATTTTTAGTGCTTCTTCTCTCCCGCATTCTCGTTCCTTATGGTGAGTTTTCGAATTTTTGCATCCCTGCTTACTTTTATTTTTTTTCCTGAGCTCTATTTTAAGTTTTTTATTATTGTTATAAGTGTTGTTGCTGTTTATATTTGGAGGATTTGTTTTGTCCACTTTTTAAATTTGCAGTTATGGTTTCTAAATTTTTTTCTCTATATATAAGTAGCAAAAAGTAGTTCCTACCTTTATATTTGATTTCAGGTTTTCATCTTCAATGTCAAAGAACTCAGTAAACGTGGCAAAAAAGGTTATTACCTTTTGGTTTGATTTCATGTTTTTATCTTCAAGGCTAAAAGAACTCATGCAAATATAATGGATTTTAATGTCTTAATATCTGTTTTCCTTGCTGAAAAGTTTTTTATGATTTTTTCGAAATTTCCCCTCGGCTTATTTCCTAATCATTCACTTCAAGTAGCACAGCATACTGGATCGTATATTTGCAAAATACCAAAACAAATAGGTAGCATTTGTATAAATCTCCATTTTTGAATATGTGAAATAGAAGAAAAGAAAACGTGGTCTTCTTATTTCTTGTACTTGCTGTGTGTTTTGAAGTTCAATTGAAACTCATGTACTTGGAAAACTTTAGAAATTAACATTTTCATTTTATTTTAAATATTGTTGGGGTTGTCAAATTGAATTAATTGAAGAATCTTTAAATACGACACATATGCTCTTATTTTCCAAATGCTTAAAAATTGCACTTTTTTTTATTGAGTTTTTACTAAACAGGGACAAAAGTAGGATTTCACCACGAAAAAATGCATATGCAATTAGAATGCATGAACAAAATTAGTTTAGTGGTTCATATATGCCTCAGCAAAAGTGTACTGAAAAAAGAGTTTGATCTCAAATGAAGGGTCCGGACTTTCTCACCCACTGGTAATTAGTTAAGCAATGGAGGTATGCAAGTGACCAGCAAATTTAGTACTCAATGAATTGGTTATTACTTTATTTTTGGAGTTAAGATTTTTTGTTACAATCTGTTTCCATCCAAGAGGTTTGCTAATGTGTTGCTTGCTTAACTAGACTTCATCCTCTATATTCTCTTGCCTTGAATCATAAAAAAATGATAACTGTATTTTGTTTGGAAAGTGCTGTGCTTTCAATGCTCTATGCTTTTAATTCATGACCCTAAATTGCCTCTTACCACTTTTAAAAATTTTAACATGAAAATCTCATTTATAATTGCATCCATGGCAAGCTTTCAGCTGCCATGTTATCAATTCTTATTCCGTTGATCCCTATGTCATTGGTTTGATAGACTACTATTACTTTAAACATATTATTTGACATCACCATAATTTTTAATAACTTGGACTAACATGGAAATAATTACTAGGTAATTCAGTTTTGGGTGTTTTAAATCTGTATTTGCTGAACATGATGTTCCCTGTAACATTTTAGTATGATTAAGTTTGGAAAGTCAGATTCTTATAGCAAGTTTGTTGTACTTTGTGAAATTGGATTCAATTGAGAAAGAAGCCTAAACAGGTTAACGGACAACAATTAAAGTTCAAATTGCCAATTGAAAGATTCAATGAGTGAATGTTAAACAGATTTTCAATCTACCTTTAAGTTTTTCTACGAGAAAGAATTTAATGGAAGGAAATGTTACTTTTGAAGTAGATTTGCTAAATTCTCTTGTAAATTGCATAATCCATGCCAAATATGGCATCCAGATGTTCCAGTAGAAGAAGACCCCTCTACTTTGAGAGATTCTTTGCAGAATCTTAGAATACAATTATTATTTCTTCCACTTTTGTTTTTAGGCTGAGGCATATATGCCATATTTGCCGCATCTTCTATCCAGGTATCTTTTGTTTTGTAGCTACTGCATTTCAATTGTGTTGTTACAGTTTGCAAGAATTATTATGGTGCTCTTGATTCTCATTGGGCAAGATCCAAGTAATGAACTTTGCCATGAATCCTTGGAAATTACTTCTAATGTATGATTTGTTTATAGCCTTTCCAATTACCAATAACTTCAATTCTTCTGCACTGCTTGGATTAAAAACAAAAATAGGTTAGCTTGAGATATGAAACATTTCTGATTTCGTCATTGTTAGATAAATTTTATAGGCAAACATGATTGGTCTTTTATTTTTTTTTTGGGTTATTTATGAGCAATAATTTGATTTGGACAGCAAATCAGAAAGTGTAAGCGCCCATATTTGAAACTATTCATTTTTGTTTCGTGTTAGGTAATGGATGATATTTTTGCACTATATTTAACCCACAAATGCAGGCTAATATAGGTTGTCCTGCTAGGTTCAGCTCTTGATTCACACATCCAATACGATTTTATCAATATGGACTGTGCTTATTTATTTATTTTTTCTTTCTTCCTTTTGGGTTTTGGTTGCCATAATTATCGACACTATGTATCTTTTGTTGTTTTTGTTGGAATCCTTTATTCGTAGGCTAGAAACATGCACAAAACTAAACTTCTTCTTCGAAATGCTACAGCCTTAAGAAATCCAGGATTGGCAGGAGCAAAAGAACTCAGTAGAGACTCCTCTGGTTGTTGGATGGAAGGCTATAGTAGAAACAGTGCATGCAAACTTGGGAATTGCTATCAATATTTTGGCTGAACTATGGGGTTTTAGAGACGGAATTATGCTTGCTTTGGAGTTAAATATTCAATTCCTAGACATTGAAGTTGACTGCCTTGACATCATATCTCTAATGAAATCAAGTACTCTCAGTAATCATAATAATCATTGTTTGCAATATAATTGTTGATTGCAGAGTCCTATTGCGGTTGCAATAGGAAGTGAATAGATGTGTAGATGGGTTAGCTAGATTGGAAGGCAAGATGGAATGGCATTTTGTAATTTTGGATTCCTATCCTCAGAACTACCTTTTGCTTTAGATGAAGATTTGAGGGGAAATTTTTTTCCTTGGAATACTTGTTTGGCTTGTACTTGGTGTTTTATTTAATCTATTTGTACCCAAAAAACAGGAAAATGTTCCAGAGCATTTTTTTCCTTCTCTAATGTCACTTGACCAAAACTTACCGTTATAGGAGACATCCGGTCTTTAAAGTTTCGATGGATGAGTATAGTCCAGAAAGTACTACCAAATACCAACTAATCGAGGCTACAAACTTTGTTCCCCCCACCGCCAAGTGTAGCTGCTACAGTACTTTATTTGGATTGATATAATATACTATTGCACAAGTTACTTCTCCATGAATGTTGAGTTTGACAAACATATATAAAGCCAATCTCGGCTATTTATACTTATTATGTGATTTTTTGGATTATTGTTTCTTTCATTGAATTGTAGTACATAAGTGGACATAGTTGAACAAATTTGAAAATTTACTTGGCATAATTGAAAACTCTTGCTGAATTTGAAAACTCTTGCATTCCCCAATTGAAAACTCTTGTATACGAATTAATCTCTAACTATTTTACCCAATTTTTTTTGTCAATCTTTCTTGAAACAATCTATTAAACAAAAGGAACACCTTTACTAAGATTGTTAAGAAACTTTGTAGGCGGAGTTGGCTTTATTTGTTTTGCTTGATATTAGATCTCATCATGATTGCGGTATGGCTTTTCCGGCTATTAGAGTAAGTATTTTGATTCTAAATTGTTTCTTAACAAAAAGTTGAATCGGATTATAGTCAATGGATGCCAATATTTTGCCTGCAATTCTAAAAAAATTGTCATCTTCAAACTTAATGATATATATATATATATATAACATGTATATGAAGAGGAGCCAGTTAATTTTTTCTTTCAATTTTGATTGATTAAGAGCTTGGATATTGGTGCCTTGAAAGCGCATGGAGTTCTTAGCTCAATATCTTTGTTTTTTTCTTCCTTTCTAATACTCTTAGTAAGTTGTTCATTATGCACCGTAACAATTAGTGGCTATAAAAATTCCATTTTCTCCTGGTTTGATGATGATTTCTTTTAATGTTTCAACACTTGTGTGTGATGATCTAGCTCAATCAAATTAAAGTTTATGAATTAAATTATTAGCTTCTCCTTGATTACGTGTATTTATTTTTTTAATTCTATTTTCATTCTATGCAGAAGCAAGGAGCATCTTAGTGATCTTAGTAGTCTAATCATGATATTGTTTTGCATTTTCTTAACAAATATTCATATTCACTACTTAATAAGACTACAAAAACAGAATGGCAAAGCTTTTGGTGCACATTTGTGTAACTTTTCACACTTAATATAAGAATTTGAATCACTGGGCATTTTTTGGCAACAGTGAAAATTACACCGCGCGATGCGCGGTGTTATCCTCCTAGTTATTCTCAAAATGCAACTCAAGCTAGTGGGGATATTAGTTGGATGGATGAAAATACCCATTGACCCACCGATCCACAAAATCAGTACCGATCTACTCAAAAATTTAGGGTACCAGACCCGCATTTCTTGATTGAGTCTGAGGAGGATTGAGTAACCACTTACATGTGCAAGCAGGTTAGAGTGAAGGTCTAACAACTGGCAAATACATGTGCATATATATATATATATATATATATATATATATATATAGACACACGTGTGCATATACACAACACAAATACCAATTTTAAACATAATTAAATAATTTCATTGATCAAATTACAACTGAGTTATAAGAGCCTATAATTTGTACACCTTATAAGTTTCACTTGTAAAAATTATGACCTTATTTTTTTCAGAGAAAGTTTAATTAATCTAGGATATAAAAAAAAAAGAAGGTAATGCTTGCCACAACTTTTTTGTTTTTTGGCATCATTGTTTATCTTATTCAATTAATTAGGGCAAATATCAAAACATCATACTTGGCTTATAAGCATTTGTTGAGAACATTGTAATTGAGTAACAATTCATATTGTTTTGAGCTGTATTGGTAATTGGATAATCAATTTTGGAGTAATTTTATTACTCTTGGATGCATAAATTTATTTATTTATTTTTTCAATTCTTTTGTGGGCATAAAACGTTTTTTATAAAATAAGTGTTGATTTTTAAATGAACATGTGAAATAGAAAATGGAATTAATATAAATTATTCTTTTAAAAAAATTAAATGGTAAGAGGAGTAGGATGAGTAATCGATGACCCAACCTTGTCTAAGTGGGTACTAGAGGTGTGCATCTTGACCCAATGATTCGGAAAACCAATAATTCAATCTGGATTCGGTCCAAATTAGTAGATATCCGGTCTGTCGGATAATATTCGAATCAAGAAGTTATGCAGATTGGATTCGGATATCATTTTTTGAGATCCGTGGATATTCGATCCTATCTGCATTATTTTTTATTTTTTAGAATTTTTTATATATTAAATCTACTAATTTATAATTGTTTTTTCTCTTGTTTCTTATTTTTATATCTATGTCCTCTTTCAAAATAGGCTTTCTTTACATATGGCGTTCAGTTCTTTATTATGTTGTCATATAATTTGTGGATAAAAAAGGTTGTAGATGAAAATATTGAATCTTATTTGTTTGAACAAAATAAGAAAAAAGTTTGGAAGTTACTTTATATTGCAACAAAAAAAGATTCATTTTCACCAAAAACTCCTTTTTTATGACTAAAAACTCATATGTAAGTGCAACAAATCACTTACATGATAGTTTTTATACTCTAATACATTTAAATTTTCATTTGACCTTTGGAATTTATATTTTTTAAAGGAATTAAAAAATTGGATATGGATGGGGCAGATACCCGACTTGTGCCTATCTCTCAACATTAGAACGTAAAGTCCCCAATTAGACTCTCAACTCCCATTTTCCCTTTTAAAGTTTAAAGCCTCTCTTGAACCAATATAAAGAAAAAATATTTACATGATAAAATGATTTGTAAAATATAAATTTGAAAAATTGTACATACAAGATGATGGAAAATGGTTATGCTATATTCAACACATGAACACGAAAAGAAGATAACTAAGTGGTTCGAACTCAAGCACTCCTTCCCTTTTAAAGTTTAAGCCTCTCTTGAACCAATATAAAGAAAAAATATTTATATGATAAAATAATTTGTAAAATATAAATTTGAAAAATTGTACATACAAGATGATGGAATGTGGTTATGCTATATTCAACCTCATAAACACGAAAAGAAGATAACTAAGTGGTTCGAATGTTGTTTTGTGATTCTTAAAACCATACAATTAAAAAATGAGGAAATATAATCTGTTTGGATAATTAGTTTTTAAATTAATTGCATTCAAGTGAAGACTAATGGTGTACTTAATAAAACTAAAGTCTGAAAACTAAAATCTGAAAACTAAAATCTAAAGTCTGAATCCATTAAATTAATGAATTGGTAAATACTCATCTTGATACGTTTGAGTGTATATCACATTAAATGATAAATGAATAGTTTATCACTTATTTTTTGGAGTAAGTTTTGCCTAAAAAATTCAATTCTACTTAATTAATTCAGATGTGCAATTTTTTGTTATCAAATGTATCTCAGCATGTTAAGATTTGAATACATTAAGTTTAAGTGTTGAATTGGGCTATCAAATAGGGCCTAACTTATTCCCTCAAATTTATAAAACCACCCAACAATTTAAGTCTCTTAAATTTCTAATTTAAACCAATTTTTTTTGATAAAAAACAAATTTCTTTAACGGATTACTAGAAATCATCCAGCGCAATTTGATTTACATCACTACCCTAAAGGTAGGTTAAACATGTACTTTTTTTTTGACAAATGATAATCTCATATATATATATAGATATATATATATCAACACTTGAAATTACAAGAGTTAATTACAACAAGGGGTAACTACCCCCATATCCTTTCTAACTAGCCTTGAAAGCCAAGTTGGGAAAGAACCTTCCCATTCAAAGCTTCTAGTTGCCTTTGCTGCAAACTGAGCTAATTCATGGCTACATTGATTCACCGTTCTAGGTACAAAAGTGAAAGCGCAGCTTTCAAAATTTTTCTTCTGAACGTCAATGTCTTCCAAGATTGTTTGAAGACTACAGTCCTGGACATTGTCCGTGTTGATGAGGCTCACTACATGCTTGTAGTCAGATTGGACTTCTATATTTGTCCATCCTGCAAACTGAGCCATTTCGAGCGCCCCTCTGGTTGCTAGAGCTTCTTCAGTGGCTGCAATTCCTTTCCTCCTCGCAGTGATTCCTTTCGCTCTCACTAATTCTCCGTGCCAGTTCCTTGCAATGATCCCATGACCTGATCTAACCATTTTAGTCGAGATAGTAGCGTCCGTATTGATCCTTATTGTTCCTTCCTTAGGAGGTTCCCAATGCTGCTGGACTGGTGTTGCCTTTTCTGGTGCAAAATTTGTCCCTGTGTCTGACTCCTTTGCTACCTCATACTCAATCCATTCTTGTAGTGCCTTGTCTGCAATCACCTTTGCATCAGCTAACTCACACTGGAAAGTAAACTTGTTCCTTGCTTTCCAGATTTGCCATAAGATGTTTGCTGTAAGCTGGATTCTGCCCACATCTTGAGTCTCTTTTGCTGCTTGCAACATAGCTTCCCACTGTCTCCACAGGTTGCCTTGAAGTTTAGCCAGCCCTTCCCACCGTACAGGTGCAATCTTCCATATTACTTGCGCTGTTGGGCAGTTGAAGAAGATATGTTCAATGGTTTCCGTGTCCTCCCCACAGCAGTGACAAATCTTGTTCCCTATTCCAAATCTTTTGTAGAGAGCTTCATTAGTAGCCAATCCGTTTTGTAGTCATCTCCATAAAAAATGTTTCAATTTCAGCTTAATGTTTAGGCTCCACAAAGTTTTCCAAACTGTATGCTTTCTTATCTCCCAACTAGTTTCCGGATCAGGTGCTAGCCTTTGATTCGTTTTTTCCTTTTCCTCCTTAGCAATCACATATCCGGTCTTCACAGTGTAGATTCCAGACTTGCTGAAGTTCCAGAATAATCTATCTTTCCTGTCATACAAACTAAGTGGAATATTAGTAATATGGTTCACAACATCTACATGAAACCAATGCTGCAAAAGATCAATGTTTCACTTCCCTCCCTCTATAAGCTCATTAACAAACTCAAGTTGACATCCTACTGGTTTAGCTGTGTGAACTCTTCCATCCACCAACCCAAGTATCCATCTATCATGCCAAATCCTCACTGAGCTCCCATTTCCCACCCTTTGAAGCAAATCCCCCTTCCTTGCGCATACTTTTCTAGCACCATGAAGCATTGTTAGGGGGTTGCTGTCCTAACCAATCTCCTCCTTCATATGCCTGGCCTTCAAGACTTTGCTTACTAACAAATTTGGGTTGATTACAATTCTCCAAATTTGTTTCGCAAGCATAGCCAAATTGGAGGCTTCCAGGTCTCTAAAACCCATACCACTTTTCCCTTTCACCTCAGAAAGCTTACTCCATCTAACCCAATGCACCTTTTTTTCCTATTCCCCACCACCCCACCGGTACCTCACAATCTTAGCACTAACAGTCTTAAATAAACCCTTGGGTAATTTAAAGCAGGACATGATATACGTTGGCATGGCCATGATGGCTGCTTTGATCAAAACTTCCTTACCCCCTTGACTAAGCAATTTTTGTTTCCAACCTTGGAGTTTACTGTTAATGTTGTTCATCAGAAATCCAAAAACCTGGTTTTTATCTCTCCCAATCGTCATCGGAAGTCCTAGGTATTTGCCACTATGTGCCTCCTTCATATTGTCCAGCACCTTACTAATTTCCCCTCTAACTCTCTTGGGAGAATTCCTACTGAAAAACATAGCAGATTTATCAAAATTTACTACCTGTCCAGATGCTTGTCCATAAATCTTGAGTACCTCCTTGAGCTTTTGAGCTTCTTTGTTACTTGCTTTACAACACAGTAGGGAGTCATCTACAAAAAATAAATGAGATACCATAGGACTGTCCTTGCAAATTTTGATTCCAGTTAAATGCTTGTTATCCACAGCTTTCTTGATCAGGTTTGAAAGCCATTCAGTACAGATAATAAATAAGTAAGGAGATAAGGGATCTCCTTGTCTAATCTCTCTGGAAGGTTTCACACTACCCACTTTTTGCCCATTTAAATTAAAAGAGTAAGAAACTGTGGAAATGCAGGTCATGATCCAACGAACAAAAGTGGGACAGAAACCCATTTGCATCATGATTCTACCAAGAAACTTCCATTCCACTCTTTTATAGGCTTTAGACATATCAAGTTTAAGGGTCATGAAACCTACCTTACCAGCTCTCTTACTTTTAAGGAAATGTAAAATTTCATGAGCAATGATAACATTGTCTAAAATTTGCCAGCCAGGAACAAATGCAGACTGTGATGGACTAATGCAATGCTTAAGGACCTTCTTTAGTCTATTAGCCAAAATCTTGGAAATGGTTTTATACAAAACATTGCAAAGACTAATAGGCCTGAAGTTAGCAAGCATCTCAGGGTTATCAACCTTGGGAATTAAGGAAATGATGGTCTTATTGATGGTCTTAAGAAGATTGCCCGTATGAAAGAAGGTAGAAATGGCATGGACAATGTCAACATTGATGATGCTCCAGTAAGATTGAAAGAAACACGGGGACATACCATCAACTCCTGGGGCTTTGTTAGGGAACATAGAAAAAATGGCCCGTTTAATCTCCCCCTCGTCCACAGGTTTAATCAACTGTGCATTCATGAGATTGGAAATAGTGCACGGTATGCCTTGTAGCACATCCTCAAACTCTGTTGGATTGTTGGAGGTGAAAAGTTCATTGTAGTGGTTACACATTTCCTCCTCAATTTCCTTGTCGCTCCTACACCATTCCCCATCAGATTTTTGGACAACACTGATTCTGTTTCGTTTCCTTTTAGCCATGACACTTTGATGGAAAAAAAGCAGTGTTTTTGTCCCTCTCCTTGAGCCATCTGCTTCTGGACTTCTGACTCCAATATAGCTCCTCTTCCTTGTAAGCTTTGCTTAGCTGAATCTTCAAGGTTGTAATGACTCATCTGTTGCACAACTCACCCACTTCTCTTGTGACTTTCAATTGCTCCTTAATTTCCTGGATTTTCAGCTTTGCATTACCTTTTGCTGTTCTGTTCCACTTGATCAATGCTACTCTACACTCCTTAATTTTTCTTGTAACTTTATACATCCTGGATCCATTTTGTTCTTTTCCCCACGCTGTGCGAACCACAGACACAGTAGCTTTGTCTTTCGCCCATCTTTGGTCGAAGAAGAATCATCTCTTCCCACTCCTTTGTTGCGGTTTTGTGTCCACCATTAGTAGGCAGTTATTAGAGGCCTCGGTTTCAATATGCTCACAGGTTACCTTTTCATAGACTTACGTCCATCCCACACTGCCTAAACATCTATCCAACCTCTCCTTTACCTCCCTCTCCCCCTCCCATGTATTGCATCAAGTCCATGGAACCCCCACAAACCCAATATCCACTAGCTCGTTCTCAGAAATGAAGCCCTTAAAGTCCCTAAAACTTCCCTCAGATCTTTCATTCCCACCCCATTTCTCTCCATTAGAGCAAATGTCATTAAAGTCACCCATCACAGCCTATTTCTCACCCCATTCTCAATTTTTTCCTCAGTTATTTCCCACTGATGTTTCCTAACTCTACCCTCCGTACTTGCATACACCCCTACAAACCACCAACTATCATTTGTTTCATTGTCCACTACTTTCGCTACAATATACCAATTCGAGCCATGCACATCCAGTAATACCATTCCCTCCTTCCAAAATAAAGTTAACCTCCCATCTCTACTCTTAGGATTAGCTATAAAACTATTCTCGAACTTTACTTTTTTTTTTTTGCACTTGTTTCATAAAAGCCTCTTGGTTCTTTGTTTCACACAAAAATAAAATATTAGGAGAGTGGAGGTGAAGTACCTCCTTCAATTGGGGAATTGTCAAGGGGCCTCATGCACCTCGACAATTCCACACCGCCACGTTCATTGCTCTGGTGGAGGCATTGCGGGGCTAGCCTCCATTTTCCCTTCTTGTTTACCAGTACCTTCACCCATTTTTGCCAGCTTGAACCTCGTGCCTTCATCCACATCTTCCTCCATAATATCCAACTCTTGATTATCCACCGTCACTTTCCTTTTCTCTCCAAACAAGCACACTGACTCTCTGCCAGTAATGTCTCGTAATGGAGCTCTTTTAATTCGTGAGCTTCTTCTCCATTTCCCCTTCCCTTGTATGCTCTCGTTTACTGGTGATCTGCTACCTTTAATTCCACTCTCATTTGTTTGACTTATTATGCCACCATTTTCAAGAATATCCAACATCTCCTACCCTGGCATAGTCTCCATCATCATATCCACTGGAGCATGATCAGACGTTCTACTCTTCCTATTCCCCAATTCCACAATCACCTTGCTGATTTCTATCTTTTCATTCTCCACTGGCTCTTTTCTTTTCACTTGTTTTTCCCCCTCCCCTTCACCTTGTTCCACACTTTTATCCAGCTCCTTGTTTTCTCTCAAAATTTCCCTCCACTTCCTCTCTATAGCTTCCTTATTCTGCTCTCTATTCTTACTCTCATTCTCACCCCTATTACTACTCGTCCCAACTATACCCTTAACACCCTTCTCCCTAGAAGGTCCTACATGAATTCCTGGGTCTTTGTTACTCACTGCTACCACCATACCTCTTTGTTTTACCTCAGCCTCGGCCCCTTTGTATGCTCTCAAAGGGGAGGTCATGATATTTCCCGCTCTCATCCATGCTCCATATTGACCTTCCCTACCGGACTGTCCTTCCTTCCATTCCCCAGTGCAAGATTTGTCACCGTGGCCAACTATCCCACAGTTATAACAAAAATCCGAACATCGGTCATATTTAAATTCCACCCATGTATTCACTCCCTCAAACTTCACCAAAGTGCCTCTGAGAAGAGGTTGTTGCACATCCACCTCTTGTTGGGAAAAGGGTACCAGTACAGGCGCAAAATATCAGAATTAGCCCAAGACAAATTTCTTTTTCCCGAAATACCAGTTAAAAACAGGAACAAGTCAAATCACCAAGTAATAATACCAACAGTGATAGTAAAATGTAGGAAAATTAAAAGGCACAGGACACCAAGATTTTTACATGGAAAACCCAAATTGGGAAAAACCACAGGATCTAGTCTAGTCAAAAAACTCCACTATCACAATAATAGAAATATACAGGTCTATCCGAAATATTCGGATGACAATAATAACACCAATATCAATCAAGCAAATCTGCTATAAAATCACCCCCCCAAAACTACAACTGTCAAAGAAGTGGGTTTGGAAAGGTGTTACCAAATGAAGAGGAAATTCGAAATCTGAATCGGTAGATGAGTAGAGTTTGATGAAAGGATCCCGTGTATAAAATTTCGTCTCAATCGGATTTCAAATCACCTTCCAACTGAGACCTTGAAATTATTTCTCTCTCTTTAGCTCTCCCTCTTTCTCTCTCTTCGTCTCTCTCAAAGATGGCGGCTACTTCTTTTTCTCTCACACAAAGGACCGAAGAATCGAATTGCTTCTTGTGGCTGCTGCTGCCTTTTATTTTATTTGAGAAACCCTCAAGTGTTATTTATGTGGGTTGGCCCACAAATAGGCTAGCCCACCCAACAATCTCCCCCTCCAGCTCATTTGGGGGGCTCCACCAAACCCGTTTCTTGTCTACAAAATAAAATTTCTCTTTAAGAAATGCCTTGGTAAACATATCAGTACCATTGTCATCTGTATGCACCTTCTCAAGCGTCAACAGCTTGGAATCCAGTACTTCTCGAATCCAATGATATCTCACATCAATGTGTTTGGATCGAGAGTGAAATGTAAAGTTCTTACACAAATGAATAGCACTCTGACTGTCACAATAGAGACTATACTTCTCTTGTTTCATTCCCAACTCTTGAAGGAATTTCTGCAACCAAAGAGTCTCCTTGCATGCTTCAGTAGTTGCAATATACTTTGCTTCTGTACTAGAAAGGGCGATACATTTTTGTAACTTACTTTGCCATGACACTGCTCCCCCTGCAAAAATCATCAAGTACCCAGATGTGGACTTCCAATTATCAAGATCACCTGCCATATCTGCATCAGTGTATCCATCTAGCATAGTTTTATCATTGCTGAAACATAGACACAATCTATGAGTTCCCTTGAGATATCTGAGAATCCATTTGACAACATTTCAATGCTCTTTACCAAGATTAGAGAGATACCGACTGACTACTCCAACTGCGTGAGCAATATCTGGTCTGGTGCAAACCATAGCATACATCAAACTACCAACGGCCGAAGCATAAGGAATCTTCTTCATGTCTTCTTTATCTTTCTCACTTGTAGGGCACTGCTTACTGTTCAATTTAAAATGACCTCAAGTGAAGTTGAGACTTCTT